ATTCGTAAGGCAGGAACGCCCCTTTGTAAAACCATGCCGAGATTCGTTGATTAATTTATGCTTTTCAAGGTGGCTACGAACTGCCTCGGCAATTATTGATTCCATAAATTTTCCCACTATGGAGGTTAGGCTTATTGGTCTATAGTTTGAAGCTAAGGACCTGTCACCTGCTTTAAAAATAGGTATCACATTTGCCATTTTCCACTTATCTGGCACCATGCCAGTTTGTAGTGATATGTTGAAAAGATTAGCCAAAGGTTTGCTAAGCTCCTCTTTACATTCCTTTAGAACCCTTGCATACAGTTCATCAGGGCCTGGGGATTTGTTAGGTTTTAATTTATCTATTTGCCTAAGGACCATGTCACTTGTGACCCTAATCGTGCGCAGTTTATTATCGTCCTGTTCTACATAATTTATCATTTCCGGAAAATCGCTGGTATCCTCCTGTGTAAAAACTGAGAGGAAGTATGTGTTAAAAATTCTACACATTTCCTTATCACTGTCAGTGAGCTGACCCGAGGAACTTTTGAGTGGGCCTATCTTGTCCCTGATCTTACTTCTGTATACCTGAAAGAATCCTTTTGGGTTAGTCTTCGATTCTCTTGCAACTTTAACCTCATAATCTCTTTTTGCTTTTCTAATTACCTTTTTTATTTCTCTCTTTAACTGAATATATCGATTTCTTAACTGCCCCTCTCCTCTTTTGATTTGCCTATATATGCCTCTCTTTTGACCAATCAGATATTTTAATCTATTGTTCATCCATTTAGGATCATTTTTGTTTGATCTGATTTCCCTATTTGGAACATAATTTGACTGAGCAGCTAGAACTATGCCCTGGAAAGCATCATATCGGCAACCATCACCACCTACCTGACCCTTAGTCAGGTCATTCCAGTTCAGCCCACTTAAGTAATTTTTCAGTCCTATGAAATCAGCCAAGCGAAAGTCAGGGATGGAGACTTGATTGCCATTATTAGGGGAATTCCATGATATATTAAAACTGAGTGATTTGTGATCACTTTCCCCAAGCTCATCATTAACCACAAGATTATTAATTAGTGTTTCCCTACTGGCAAGAACCAAGTCAAGGAGGTTATTTCCCCTAGTTGGCTCTGTCACAAACTGTTTTAAAAAACAATCCTGGGTCGTATCAAGAAAGTCACCTGACTCTAAATTTCCTGTCAAATTGCTCCAGTCAATCTGTCTATAGTTCTACGCATATATTCGATAAATTTTGTATTATTCCATTGTTTTTAGTGCTTGTAACTGCTAAATAAGCCACTATGGGCCCAAAGAAAGCTTCTAGTGCCAACCCTGTGGTAAAAAGGGTGAGAAATACTATCGAAATACTATCATACCACGGTCAGCTGCTGCTGCACCACCGTCAGCTGTTGCTGCACCACTGTCAGCTGCTGCTGCACCACTGTCAGCTGCTGCTGCACCACAGTCAGCTGTTGCTGCACCACAGTCAGCTGCTGCTCCACCACCATCAGCTGCTGCTCCACCACCATCAGCTGTACTACTCGAAGATGTGAAGAGAGTTTTTGGTGTGGCTTAACAAGAAACAATTACTGAGAAACAATTAACCCCAGAGGCTTAGCCACCCAGGATAACCCAAGAAAGTCAGTGCATCATCGAAGACTGTCTAACTTATTTCCATTGGGGTCTTGTCCTCCCAGTTGACTAACACCCAGGTGAACAGGAAAAAATGCCTGAAACTAGTGCTCATATTGGTGAATTTAAGGCCAGCAAAGGTTGGTTTGAGAGATTTAAGAATCGTAGTGGCATACACAGTGTGTGATGAATGGTTTGAAAAACCGACAAGTTGAAGATTGAGACACTTATGCAGCATATGGGAATCTTTATTCAGGAAACGTTTCGCCACACAGTGGCTTCATCAGTCCAATACAAAGAGGAAGGCGTAAGGAGAGAAGGAGAATGAGGTAATCAGTCCCTCAACCTGGAGTCGATGTGTTCAGTCCATCAATCTTGTAGAATGTACAGCATAGGGCCATAGACGTGGCTTATATACTGTAGTGAGGTGAGGTGAAGCAGGCGGAGGCGGGGTCATAGTGGTACTATCCACTAGTCGAAGTAGGTCTTCGTCCAAAGGTTGAACAAGTGTTGAAGAATTCTTTGTAACAAGATCCCATGATGCTGCAGTGTCTGACAGTTGTGATGAATGGTTTGAAAAACCGACAAGTTGAAGATTGAGACACTTATGCAGCATATGGGAATCTTTATTCAGGAGGGAATCTTTATTCAGGAAACGTTTCGCCACACAGTGGCTTCATCAGTCCAATACAAAGAGGAAGGCGTAAGGAGAGAAGGAGAATGAGGTAATCAGTCCCTCAACCTGGAGTCGATGTGTTCAGTCCATCAATCTTGTAGAATGTACAGCATAGGGCCGTAGACGTGGCTTATATACTGTAGTGTACAGTATATAAGCCACGTCTACGGCCCTATGCTGTACATTCTACAAGATTGATGGACTGAACACATCGACTCCAGGTTGAGGGACTGATTACCTCATTCTCCTTCTCTCCTTACGCCTTCCTCTTTGTATTGGACTGATGAAGCCACTGTGTGGCGTAACGTTTCCTGAATAAAGATTCCCTCCTGAATAAAGATTCCCATATGCTGCATAAGTGTCTCAAACATACACAGTGTGATAAGGCATCGTGAAGCTGAAAAATTCCAACCCCAACAAGTGTTCAATTGTGACGAAACAGGCCTGTTTTGGATGAAAATGCCAAACAGGACCTACAATACTCAGGAGGAAAAGGTACTACCAGGACACAAGCCTATGAAAGACAGGTTAACTCTCATGTTTTGTTGTAATGCTAGTGGGGATTGCAAAGTGATGCTTTTACTCATGTATCACTCTGAAAATCCCAGGGTGTTCAAGAAAAACAGTGTCTCATCACTCATCAATACTTTTCAATAAAGGTAAGTGTCATTTTAACATTATTTATTTAGTTATTGTGCATGTCTCATTGTTTTCTTTGTAGGGAAATGTGTATTTCATGAAAAAAAAAAATTAATACTTTTGGCTGTCTGGAACGGATCAATTGGATTTCCATTATTTCTTATGGGAAAAATTAATTCAACTAATGATAAATTTGACTCAAGATAAGCTCTCTGGAACAGATTAATATCATTGGTCGAGGGTCCACTGTAAAGGAAATAGAGCATTAATATAATAAGGACTGAATGCAGAACTTTTATTGGTACTGTATACTAACCATGTACAACCACATGTACTCTAAACTAGCCATAGTCTATTTCAGTTTAAGATAACATTTTTACCATTGGCCATTGACATCCTTAAGTTTTTGGTTCTAAACTGTGCAAATACAATACTGTATGTATATGTATATTCCTCGAGTTCACCTCTGGTACATGATACCCTCTAGGGAGGTTCACTGATATCAATATTCTAAGGGACTCTTGATCCATAGTATTATACCTATCCTTGCTTTCCTTGGATAAACTGTGATTGCCTTCTGTGTTCCCATATGCTATGTGACTCCTATAACAATAATAATAATAATATTTTACTTCTACATGTACAAGGTGTACAGGCATTAGCTGACATAAATGACATACTACTATATACAAAACCCCTTGTTATTCAGAGCATTTTGAGCAAATTGGGTAAATTTAGTATGTAAGTTTATTTAGGTATACACAAATACAGTTACATAGATTATCATACATAGCAGCATATGTGTAGAGAGCCTAGGATAACCCAAAAACATCAGACAAAGTGACTTATTTCCATTGGGGTCCTTTTAATACCTTATTATTACACATACTAAAAAGGAGATAATATTTTATTATTATACTATAAAGGAGGTATACTAGGACTAAGGTAAAATGAGTTATGTATTTATATTTACATGCGTTAGCTAAAAAAAATAAAAAAACATTCTCCTCCCTTTCTGTCACTACATTCATTAGGCACCTTTTGGCTCTCTTCTTGAACTGGTTCATGATATGATTGGCTTTGATATGTGCAGACAGTCTGTTCCATTCCTTTATTACTGTACAATAAAAGGTTTTTGAAGCCTGGCCACTGACTGTGGGTACTACAAATTGTGCTCTCTCCCCAGGATGCGACCCACACCTATCTTACTGCTAGGTGACCAGGGACAGCAGGTGTTTCCACTCTTATGAGGAATTGAGCCCCGGACCTCATTGTGCAAGCTGAGTGCACTATCAATCGAGCTACAGGTTTACGCTAGCAGTTGAGCTATATTTTTACTGTTCCTCTCATGAATGTAATAATAATCTGGTACAAATTGAGGATTAAGGTTTACAAGTACTATTCAGTGGAACTCAGGCATTAGTTTACATTGTGCAATACATACAACCTATTTACCTCAAGGAATAATTATTTTTGTTGAAAAATTTTATTTTGGAAGATATTTGAGAAAATAATAAATATATGTACTTCAGTTGTGCAACACATTGCAGCCAATCCAACGCTTCTTTTGATTCATGTCACTTTGGCCTAATTAAAAAGGCATGCCAGTACTGATGGCAGGGCAAAGGTTAAGAAATATTAGGTTATTTGAGATTATGGCTGGGGATTTCATTAGGTTTGGTTATGTTTTCTACGATTAACACAATAAAATATTACCTCGACCACAAAACCAACTTAATATTGTATAAATCCAACTATAATTAATGGCCAAAATCGGTAAGTAGCAGTCGTACACTTTACCGGTAGAGTTAATACATAACACAAAAATTTAATTATATGTTATAATCTTCATACAAATACTTATACTAGTATCAAGTGGTTTGAAAATAATATATCAGTCTTAGTCTGCCCGAAATGCTTCACATAACACGGGGTTTTCCTTAGAATGCACAAACACATCTAAACCCAAATAAATTTTAACTTGAACTTTGACCAGTGTAGATTATAATAAAATATAAATAATTTTCACCAAATAAATACGTGATAAAACTAAAAATTAACACTGTACCTAATAAGAGGCCATCCATATCAAAGATAACATGTGTCACAGGCTTGAAAGTACACATAATGAGGATGAAATAAGATTGAGTGGAAGACACCAAGTGGTTGTTATTACTGTTGGGTTGGTGGGTTAGGCGGCCCTGACACAAGAAACCTGAAACTTTATGTTATACAACACTCGTGTGTTGTACACAGATTCAAAATTCTAATTTTTATTTCTTTGCATAGTTTACAATGTGTGACTCACATGTTATAAGGAGTCTATTTCCATGTGTAGTTTACATTGTGTAATTACAATATTGATTTGCTAAGTGCAAAGAAAGCCACTATCATGTCTGTTAACTAGGTTTACAGGTCACAATATAAGTAAGCTTATTTAGGCACACGTACACATAAGTACAATTATCATACATAGTGTAGATTACCTAGGTCCAAGGATAACCCCAAAGCGACCTATTTCCATTGGGGTCTTTGTCAGACCCCACTGGACATTGTTGCATCACTATTGTTCACCCCATGATCATCCTGAGTGGTGAAGCAAAAGAAAAAAAATAAGGATTACACGGGTCGTCACATTGGGCCTTCATCGGATTATTATTATAATCAAAAAGAAGCGCTAACAAGATGGGTCCTACACAGATGACAGCAAGGAAATGAGTGAGCTACTCAAGTCCCAATATGACTCAGTTTTTAGCAAGCCGCTAACCAGACTGAGAGTCGAAGATCAAAATGAATTTTTTATGAGAGCCACAAAATTTGATTAACACAAGCCTATCCGATGTTATCCTGACGCCAAATGACTTCGAACAGGTGATAAATGACATGCCCATGCACTCTGCCCCAGGGCCAGACTCGTGGAACTCTGTGTTCATCAAGAACTGCAAGAAGCCCCTATCACGAGCCTTTTCCATCCTATGGAGAGGGAGCATGGACACGGGGGTCGTCCCACAGTTACTAAAAACAACAGACATAGCCCCACTCCACAAAGGGGGCAGTAAAGCAACAGCAAAGAACTACAGACCAATAGCACTAACATCCCATATCATAAAAATCTTTGAAAGGGTCCTAAGAAGCAAGATCACCACCCATCTAGAAACCCATCAGTTACACAACCCAGGGCAACATGGGTTTAGAACAGGTCGCTCCTGTCTGTCTCAACTATTGGATCACTACGACAAGGTCCTAAATGCACTAGAAGACAAAAAGAATGCAGATGTAATATATACAGACTTTGCAAAAGCCTTCGACAAGTGTGACCATGGCGTAATAGCGCACAAAATGCGTGCTAAAGGAATAACAGGAAAAGTCGGTCGATGTATCTATAATTTCCTCACTAACAGAACACAGAGAGTAGTCGTCAACAGAGTAAAGTCCGAGGCAGCTACGGTGAAAAGCTCTGTTCCACAAGGCACAGTACTCGCTCCCATCTTGTTCCTCATCCTCATATCCGACATAGACAAGGATGTCAGCCACAGCACCGTGTCTTCCTTTACAGATGACACCCGAATCTGCTTGACAGTGTCTTCCATTGCAGACACTGCAAGGCTCCAGGCGGACATCAACCAAATCTTTCAGTGGGCTACAGAAAACAATATGAAGTTCAACGATGAGAAATTTCAATTACTCAGATATGGTAAACATGAGGAAATTAAATCTTCATCAGAGTACAAAACAAATTCTGGCCACAAAATAGAGCGAAACAGCAACGTCAAAGACCTGGGAGTGATCATGTCGGAGGATCTCACCTTCAAGGACCATAACATTGTATCAATCGCATCTGCTAGAAAAATGACAGGATGGATAATGAGAACCTTCAAAACTAGGGAGGCCAAGCCCATGATGACACTCTTCAGGTCACTTGTTCTATCTAGGCTGGAATATTGCTGCACACTAACAGCACCTTTCAAGGCAGGTGAAATTGCTGACCTAGAAAATGTACAGAGAACCTTCACGGCACGCATAACGGAGATAAAACACCTCAATTACTGGGAGCGCTTGAGGTTCCTGAACCTGTATTCCCTGGAATGCAGGCGGGAGAGATACATGATTATATACACCTGGAAAATCCTAGAGGGACTAGTACCGAACTTGCACACGAAAATCACTCACTACGAAAGCAAAAGACTTGGCAGACGATGCAACATCCCCCCAATGAAAAGCAGGGGTGTCACTAGCACGTTAAGAGACCATACAATAAGTGTCAGGGGCCCGAGACTGTTCAACTGCCTCCCAACATACATAAGGGGGATTACCAAAAGACCCCTGGCAGTCTTCAAGCTGGCACTGGACAAGCACCTAAAGTCGGTTCCTGACCAGCCGGGCTGTGGCTCGTACGTTGGTTTGCGTGCAGCCAGCAGCAACAGCCTGGTTGATTAGGCTCTGATCCACCAGGAGGCCTGGTCACAGACCGGGCCGCGGGGGCGTTGACCCCCGGAACTCTCTCCAGGTAAACAGAAGGATAATATATCTTAATATCACTCATCAATTTGACTGGAGATTAATGTGTCATGTACAGGACCCCCCCTTTTGCTTACATTTATGAAGAATTTACTGGGCAGAAATTAAACATAATTTAGACAGCTTATCTGAGGTTCCTGGAGTTGTCCTGTCCTGTTGCCTGATTCTCAAATTATGCAGGAATGCACATCCAACAATTTCGTCTCCTATTTGAGAGGTGTCAGCCCAATTTTAACCTCTAGAGCACGAAAACTTCTTCCCATTACACCAACGTTCCTAATCAAAATTCAAACAAAATGGCGACTGAGCTCCCCAGCCGCAGGTTTCCCATTTTCGATAACATACTTCTTTTAAAAATACAATATAGGGCATCTATTTACCTATAAATTACCGTATTTCCGGAAAATATATACAGTATTTTCCACAATTATGATCATTATTATAATCAAGGGGGAGCAATAAACCCGTAGGATTATGCAGCTCCTGTGGGAGGATGTGGAAGGTATTCAGGCTTAATTCAGGGAACTGGAGCACAGATCCAATTCCCTAGATCAAGAGCCCAGGTGGCCCGGTGGCTTGGTGGCTAAAGCTCTCGCTTCACACACGGAGGGCCCGGTTCGATTCCCGGCGGGTGGAAACATTTCGACACGTTTCCTTACACCTGTTGTCCTGTTCACCTTGCATCAAATAGGTACCTGGGTGTTAGTCGACTGGTGTGGGTCGCATCCTGGGGGACAAGATTAAGGACCCCAATGGAAATAAGTTAGACAGTCCTCGATGACGCACTGACTTTCTTGGATTATCCTGGGTGGCTAATCCTCCGGGGTTAAAAATCCGAACGAAATCTTATCTTATCTTATCTTAGCCCCTCACCAGCATCAAGGAACCTTCCTTGAGGGGTCACCACGAAGCAGCTTCAGTCCTATTATGACACCGATTTCACATATTCTATCATCATTAGATATACCTAATTCTTTCGTCATTTTAAGTATTTTTGGGGTTATAGGATAGCCAAAAATAATTCTTAGAGCTTCATTTTATATTTTTCATGACTTTCAATGGTACTACAGTTGTTATGTGTTGTTATTGTCGGTTTTTCAAACCATTCATCACAACTGTCTGACACTGCAGCATCATGGAATCTTGTTACAAAGAATTCTTCAACACTTGTCCAACCTTTGGACGAAGACCTACTTCGACTAGTGGATGTTACCACTATGACCTCACCTCCTCCTGCTTCGCCTCACCTCACTACAGTATATAAGCCACGTCTACGGCCCTATGCTGTACATTCTACAAGATTGATGGACTGAACACATCGGCTCCAGGCTGAGGGACTGATTACTCAAACTCCTCCTCTCCTTACGCCTTTCTACTTTGTATCGGACTGATGAAGCCACTGTGTGGCGAAACGTTTCCTGAATAAAGAATCCCATATGTTGCATAAGTGTCTCAATCTTCAACTACAGTTGTTGCAGTAGTAAGGTACCCACAATGGAAACAAGACAAACAGTCCGTAGTGACGCACTGGCACTGTAGGGTTATCCTATGAGGCTAACCCTCCATGTTAAAAATCCGAATAGGTATAATTCTAGGGGCAGATCTGCTTTACTACAGTAATCAGTCCCCTTAGCTTTGAAGGTAGATTGTTGAAGCACCTTAAGTAACAAAGAAGAAAGAAGCCTTGAAGGTGTTGAAACGAGTCGTTAGAAAAAAGACAAGATAATCTGTACCTGAAAATAGACGTACTTACTAAACCAATCCCTCAGCCTTGAAATGTGTTCAGTGTAATGATGAGTTAGGTTAAATTACGCATTTTATATTTATACAGCCTAAAACAAAACATCTTATATTTGTACAGCCTAAAACAACATATCTTATATTTGTACAGCCTAAAACAACATATCTTATATTTGCACAACCTAAAACAATGTCCATGACAAAACCAGCCGCCTTGTAACATCGGACATTTTTATGAATAATTTGTCGCCAAACTCACTCACGCAAGGACAGGATCTCTATAATTACCACTTACACTTTTGCTCAGAAAATGATTACAATTGTCTTACCATATAAGAGAATTGTAATCAACCCAAAAAATGTATAAAATTGTACTTAAATAAACTTACTAATTTATTTTCTTACTAAGGAAAAAAAAAAGTGTCCAACATCTATCGATATCGAAAATAACTTACAATATGCTATGAAACTGGCGTAAATTTGTTAAGGGCTTCCAGAAGTGTAAAAGATGAGGGAACATAAGCAGTTGGAACCTATTTAAGAACCACCACCATTGACCGCTTTGTATGGTTTCATCATCTATGGTTGGAGTGGCAGCAGCAGCAGACAGGGAGCCCCGCCTCACAAAATATTCAACATGGTTTGGGGATTTGTTACCTGTGGGCCTAACGAGGCATTAGTAATTTCAGGTGAGGTGTTAACCGAAACCTAGAGCAAGATTTTTACAAGGTTCATTTTTCACGTTTTACATCATTCGGCACTATTTTGTATAGTATCTCATTGAGTACCAATTTACCATGTTCCTCACAGTGTATGTGCCTAGGGATCAGTAGAAACTAGCAGTGGAGAGAAATTGTATAAAATACTGACATGATGGAATAGAGAGAAATGTGGTACATCCGATTCTTTATTGACAACGTTTCGCCCACGCTGACAGTGTCAACTATGGGCGATATGCTGTCAGTAAAGAATCTCATTATGCTGCATTTATCGCAACTTTGCAACTGTAAACTGTCTGAAACCAGTCATTAGACAACACTCACACCCCTATATAGACAGCTCAACCTCCTGTACGATCTTTCCATATATTCCATACATAATAATTTGGCTCTTTTGTTCTAAATTGTCAGTTACATCAGTTCATTTATAAGAGATCTCATTGACAGTTAACAGTGATTGGTCAGGAGGAATTCAGGTTCTCTCTATTCAGTATATGAATTTAGTTTATTTTTAAGTATATTGTTATTGATATTTATTTCCACAATATGTCAATGTAAATTACTTTTTATTATATAAATAAAATATTTAATGCAGTTATCCAAATATTAGCTTATCAGTTTCAATGTAGTATTCCCACATATTTCTTTATTTTGGGATTTTATGCCAAGCTCATGATGACACTCTTCAGGTCACTTGTTCTATCTAGGCTGGAATATTGCTGCACACTAACAGCACCTTTCAAGGCAGGTGAAATTGCCGACCTAGAAAATGTACAGAGAGCCTTCATGGAGCACATAACTGCAATAAGACATCTCAATTACTAGGAACACTTGAAGTTCCTAAACCTGTACTCCCTAGAATGCCGGCGGGAGAGATGCCTGATAATATACACTTGGAAAATCCTAGAGGGATTAGTACCAAACTTGCACACGAAAATCACTCCCTATGAAAGCAAACGACTCGGCAGATGATGCAACATCCCCCCAATAAAAAGCAGGGGTGCCACTAGCACGATAAGAGACAACACAATAAGTGTCAGGGGCCCAAGACTATTCAACTGCCTCCCAGCATACATAAGGGGGATTACCAGTAGACCCCTGGCTGTCTTCAAGACGGCACTGGACAGGCACCTCAAGTTGATACCCAACCAGCTGGACTGTGGTTCGTACGTCAGGTTGCGTGTGGCTAACAGTAACAGCCTGGTTGATCAGACCCTGATCCACCATGAGGCCTGGTCACGGACCTGGCCGCAGGGGCATTGACCCCCGAAACCCTCTCCTGGTACACTCCATGTATATTTCTGTTTTTTGTACCTTAGTAAGTGTATTTGTTAATTTATGGAAAATGTAAGTGATATAAATTAATAAAATAATATTTAGGTATAGAAAGAGAGAAATAGCATATACAGTACATGTACCTCTGTCAAGGGTGAAAGAAGAAATCCATTTCATGGTAATACAGACCATTGTTTGCAATCGTGTCATTACAGTTTCGTGAGTCAGATTCACTCATAAACCATCGTTAACCCCCCCCCATATAATGGACCTCCCTATAACAGATTTCAGAAACAGTCTTCTGGGTCATTTGATTTGGAAATGGACTAAGTCTGTTGGTTACAGACTTGTCCATTATTGTTACAATCACAGCAAACCAATTGCTTCTCTATCCACTACAATTGCCATTGTCTACTACCCACTCCCCTAATTAATTTGTTTTATGGAGGGTTTACTGTACTCTAATTATATTTGTAGAGAAATGCTAAACCCATAATGCTGATAGTGGCAGTCAGGTCTGATCTGAGAGAGTAGGTGCAGTTCCTTGAGTAAAGAACCTTTCACTAGTATCAAGGTACCTCCCTTGAATGGTTCATAAGCAGTTACAGTATTGTCCTATAAATTTCAACTACGTACCTTGTACTGCAAATAAAATATGGGATATGCATTAGGAATTTGATATGTTCACTGCTCCATGTTAACTATTCATACTGAAGCATTATCAGTAATACAATATCTTGATTCTTATTTGTTGCAGCAAAAACCTGTTTGATGATTCCTAGCTATAGCCTTGAGCTGATGTTGTCACTGCTGGCTTTGACATGGTTATATGATTTGTTTCAATCAATCCCGCATAGCCGTGAAAAAGAAAGTTTTTTGATACTTGAAAAATTTTTATTCAGTTTCATTGGTTTGATGTTTTTGATTTTGATTATTAACCATTTCAGATTTTGCAGCTGTGTGGTCTTGTTTTAATTTTTAATTTTAGCTGTTTTTTTTGTATTTTTTTTTTTTTTTTTTTGAGAGACATGATCCCTTCCATCTATGTCCATTATAAATCTTATCATCTTATTTTAAATACTTTGTTTTCAGAGATTGTAGAGCATTTTAGCAGAATGTACTATCATGAGCAGCAGCAGCAGTCAACATGGTTCTGTAAAAAATGCCTGACATAGGGCTTTGTATTCATTTGTAGGTGTACATTATGCCTGCCTAATGATAAACTGTCCTAGTATTTGCACTATTTTTTATTGTGTACACTTCATATAAATATGATGAGTATGTTCACCATCAGTTATAATAAGCAAATAATCATATCATATATACAGTTCTTAGATATTTTATTGATGTTACAGTTGAGATGGTTACCTATTAATCATAGGTATTATATTAAGTATGGTGCATGAAACAACAGAAACTAATCTTTCTTAACATAAATTCATACACGTGCGTACACATACGCATGCTAGTGAATGATTGCAAGTGATTGATTGTGAGATTGATTTAGAGAGATTGAGATTTCCATAGTCATGCAAACATATTTACATCAGTCTCTATGCTTTTTCACTCGTTCAGTATCGCTCTCCCACACCAGCATCTGGCAGTAGTCAGCCATCACACTGATTGTCAGGTTTTCCCGCTCTTTCTCCATGGTGGCTATGTCTTGGTGAAATAGTTCACAGTGGGATTCTGTTTCATAGAAACTGAACATGTTCTATTTCATAGAACAACATGTTCAGATTCAAATTTAGTGTCCCAAAATTAGTTAGAAATATGTTGTTAAATGGTACCCAAAACCATTGTTACTGATAATAGTTATAGCTAAGGAATCCCCCCCCCCCCCCCAAAAAAAAAAAAAAAAAAAAAATCTCAGTAAAGAGGGTAGAACCTTCCACAGGTCCCAGTTTGGGGATGAGCATGTGATTGATCATTCGTAACTTCCTTGTCCAATTGTAGCTTCAGAATCAGAGCTGTGATCATGGTGTCCAGTCTCTGGTTTTATTCTTTTTTATAATTTGTTTAAATTTGTGTGTGTGCACTGCACATAGGATAAATATGTAGGCGTGTTAGTTGCAAGTACCAGAAAATATTTGCAGTAAGATAGTGCAATAAAATTTTTGAAAAAATATTAATTTACAGTACAGTAGTAGAGTAAATGCAAGGATTTTATTTTGTCATACTGTATCTATATTAATTAGATTGGGATTTTTTTAAGTGGCTGTCTCCCATCAAGGTAGGGTGACACAAAATTGGAAACAGTCACCATCATTCATTCAACAGCTGTCCTGCCAGAGGTGCAAACATCACATTTCAGATAACCCTCCATAATGCAGTGTCCCAACCCCTCCTTCAGAGCCCAGGTACTGAATTTTCCACATCCAGGACTTGAGTCAGGCTAACTGATTTTCCCGAATCTCTTCATAAATGTTACCTTGCTCACACTCCAGCAGCAAGTTGGTCCAGAAAAACTATGTCTCCACTCCGATCTAATAAGCTCACACAAGCTTGCTGGATGTTCAGCCCCTAGCACTCAGAACAACTTTTATCCCTTCCTTCTAACCCTTCCTGGGGAACCCCTACCCCTTCCTCTCTCCGTCCTTCTGCCCCAGATTTATACACCTTCATGGTCATCCTACTCTACTCCATCTTCTTTAAATGCCCAAACCACCTTAACAACCCCTCCTTAGTGTTCTGAATTAGCCCACACTAGCTTCTAATTTTTACGGTCTGAATTTGTCATATAGTCATACCACACATGGCTTGCAAACATGATGCATCCATTGCCTATAGCCTTTTTGCTGCAATATTTGAGGCCCTTGCTTCAAAGCCACATAGAGGTGTTGGTGCCACTCTCATACTGGAGCATTTTTAAAATAATTATGTACTAAATTAATAGTACTACAGTAGGACCCTCATATCCGTGGGGGAAACTTTCCAAAGACCTGCCACAAATACTGAAACTGCTAATACAGTGGACCCTCGACCAGCGATATTAATCCGTTCCTGAGAGCTCATCGTTAATCAAAATTATCTTTAGTCGAGTTAATTTTCCCCATAAGAAATAATGGAAATCAAATTAATCCGTGCAAGACACCCAAAAGTATTAAAAAAAAAAAATTTTACCACATGAAATATTAATTTTAATACATGCAAACTGAAGAAGACATGCACAGTTACATGACACTTACCTTTATTGAAGATCCGGTGATGATTGATGGGATGGGAGGAGGGGAGAGTGTTGATGGTGTTAGTGTTTAGAAGGGGAATCCCTTTCCATTAGGACTTGAGGTGGCAAGTCATTTTCGGGGTTACTTCCCTTCTTCTTTTAATGCCACTAGGACCAGCTTGAGAGTCACTGGACCTCTGTCGCACAACATATCTGTTGTCATGTAGGGGGGTAATGATTAGGGGAACATGGGGGTAAGCGGAGGGAGTTAGTAGGCAGGGGACAGGCAGGCGAGGTGGTAGGAGAGAGGTATGCGGAGGTAGGTAGGTAGATGACAGGAGCGGTGAGCGGTAGGTAGGTAGGTAATGTGAGGTCACTGGTGACTACAACTTCACCTCTCATTACTCTACCCACCACTCCACTACTCACCCTCTCACTACTTTAACTGAACATAAATAAATGGAGAAAATAACGGGGACAGTGAATATTACTATTCTACTCAAACACAGTTTATTATTAAGTCCTTGTA